TGAATTTTAGTTTCCAAACTAATTTCAGTGCAAGAATATTGAAGGAGCAAAATGAGTGCGACGGAGGGGTTATTACCGTTATAACGTGTGAAACGTCTGTTCCCAGCATGTTGACGTCATAAGCACAGCGTATCTGGAGGTGACCTGTTTTCGGCGTTCGACAACCTGCATTCTTTGGTTTCTTTCATATTCCCTCATAAGTTCCACTTATTCCAATTTTTACACAGATAAATTCCAGATTCTTCCAATGATCTGCAGATTCTTACATGAAATGTTGAAAATGTCCCGCACAACCCATCGCGACAGCCACGTGCAGGGCATTTTAGGGCTGGCGATCTTCTTGATTCCTCCCTAACCTGGCTCATGGATCGACTACAAGTATGTATAACTATAAATGCCATCAAGAGTGAAGAATTGGATTCACTTCGAATAATCTAGTCCTTTAGGCAGAATTCATCTTCCTTTTTTGGCCCCCTCCCTCTCTTTTGCCGGGTACTAGACAGCAAGGGATATTTTTTTCGAAAATTCATACACTGTTTCTTGCTTCTACTCTGATCTAAACTTCTCCCATCTAATTTGTGGCTGTATGCTTGGTGGCTGTCGCTTTAGCCGTCCCCCCTGTAGATCAATGCTTCCACAACGCCTCAGCCTGCTGTTTCAGGCTGTTTCCGGGCAACCCCGCCCCGAATAAGCAACTAGAGCGTACAGTCAAAACCCTGTATAAATAGTACAATGGCATTGTACTAGCTGGAGAAGAACATTCTAAGCAACTAGTATTCTCTAATGGGCCTTTCCCCCGAGATAGCCGAGACAACAAGCCAACACAAGCTGTCGGGACCCCGTCGGGAAAAATGTGGCGTGCATTAGTCGGTGATACTGTAGTATCTCTCGTCAGCTTATGGCTCAAATTATGGGTCTTAAGCGTCTCTGCTTATTTTCCCCTTAACGCATTAGTGCACTCATCTTTTAGGAAAATGGCCGGGTACAACCTCTGCAAGATTGTCGTTTGTGGACATATAAAGACAGGGCATTCCCACAATTGATAATATCTAATTTGCCCCAAAAAAAGATATTCTCTAAAATCCTATCTTAGGAAGCAGCATACAACATGCTTCCATCGCTTCTTCCTGTGCTCCTGCTTTCGGTGCTAGCAGAGGCATCACCTGGAAAGCGAGCAAACGCAGCATCGGCCTACTCTTCAAACTCAGATGGCAGCTACAAACTCTCTTCAATTGCTGCACCAGTCCAGGGCAGTGGTAGTCCAGGCTCCGAATCGACCTGGAAACTGAGCATCGATGATACATCTAGCGGACACAAACAAACAATCGTAGGCTTCGGAGCCGCTGTCACCGATGCCACAGTCACCTCCTTCAACACGCTCTCTGCCTCCACGCTACAACAATTGCTCAATGAGCTAATGACTGGCGCCGGTGCTGGATTCGCTTTGATGCGCCATACGATTGGTGCTTCTGACCTGTCTGGTGACCCGGCGTATACCTATGACGATAATGGGAACAATGCGGATCCATCCATGTCTGGTTTTAACCTGGGCGACCGTGGAAATGCCATGGCTGCTATGCTGGCTAAGATGAAGTCCCTTCAGTCGAGTTTGAAGATTCTTGGTTCACCTTGGAGTGCTCCCGGGTGGATGAAGCTGAACGGTGTGATTGATGGTGCTACAAATAACAATAACCTCAACGATGGCTACTTGAATAGAGGAGGTACTGGAAGTACTGGCTATGCCAGTGCCTTTGCACAATATTTCGTCAAGTACATCCAGGCCTATGAGAAGCTTGGCGCCCACATTGATGCGATTACCATTCAAAACGAGCCCTTGAACAGCCAAGCTGGATATCCTACAATGTATGTGTATGACTACGAGTCTGCACAGTTGATCCAAAATTATGTTGGTCCGGCTCTGGCTCAAGCCGGCCTGAACACTGATATTTGGGCATATGATCACAACACTGGTATGCTCTCGATAATCTGGCATCTATGAGGGAGAATGAGGACTTTGTTTGCTAACGGATGAATATCAGATGTGCCCTCCTACCCTCAGAACGTTATCAACGGTGCTAGCCAGTATGTCGACTCGGTAGCGTGGCACTGTTATGCCAGCAATGTAGACTGGACAGTCCTCACCCAATTCCACCAGACCAACCCCAACATCAAGCAATACATGACAGAATGCTGGACCCCCGCATCCGCCTCATGGAACCAAGCCGCCGATTTCACGATGGGACCTTTGCAAAATTGGGCATCGGGCGTTACGGCCTGGACACTTGGCACAAATGATCAAGATGGTCCTCACCTGTCAAGTGGCGGCTGTGGAAACTGTCAAGGTCTGGTGACTATTTCTAACGGTGGATATACTTTTAACCCAGCATACTATATGATGGCTCAGTTCAGCAAGTTCATGCCGCCCGGTGCGATTGTGCTGAGCGGTACCGGGAGCTACTCATATTCCACTGGAGGTGTCCAGTCTGTTGCTTCGCTGAATCCAGATGGAACTCGCACTGTTGTTATTGAGAATACGTTCAGTAATGATATTTACATTACTGTGTCCACTAACAGTGGTCAGGAGTGGAGTGGCAACATTCCGAGTCAGTCTGTGACAACCTGGGTGCTTCCTGCAGCATGAGTGAGAAGGGCGCTGTTAGCTGAGATGCGAAGATTCTTGTAAATTACCCGTGCGATTCGCATTCTCGAATGTACAAAGTTTTATACTAGCATCTTTAATCAACATAAGCAATCCAGCTCCTCTCTCTCAAAATAGGGCCAAATATTATGTGTTCAATCCGAGCCAAGAGATGTCCATCTCTTAGTGCCACTTTGACCTCTGACATGCCCATGGTCGTGCATATTGTGGGGGAGGTAAATAAGACCAATCCGCAGGTAACCCTCGTGCCGCTATACGAGACCGTGATAGGCCCGACCCCCTCACATTACCCCAAAAGGGCAGTTCCCGAACCACGATGTCTTTTCTTCTTGAGCTCAGCCAACTAAACCATCTACACTGACCACGCGACCTATTCCAATTTTCCTTTTTTGTCCCAAAATGGCCACGCAGTCCACATCAGAACAAGTCGACAATCCCCCGGATTATGATAGTATCCCGCCCCGCAGACCTGTCATTGAATGCATACGGACCACTGCAGCCCCTGAACGTACGCCGATCTCACATGTATCTCTACGGCTTCTGCCCTGTCACTAATGCGACTTTCCTCAGCACCGAGCGGCTCCGTAAGAGGAATCCTTCCGGTCCATATTTCACCCATCTAACCACCCATGACAGTCCCAGGCATTCAAAGTCAACGGGATGATCTATGTAGCAGCCCAAATAGCGAATATGCCTCGTGGGGGGTATGTTACCGAATCGCTTGCAAGTGCGGAACGGATGATCCGTAATATAGAGGCGATTCTGAAGGCGGCGGGGTCTGGTTTGGACAGGATTATTAAAACTACGGTAGGATCTGATGATTCGTGGCTGTCGAATCCTTTGGGGCTAACAATAAATGGGTTTTCTTAGGTTTATTTTACAGAAAACATGTGGGTTCATGTAATAGATGATTTTGAGGCTCTCTATAAGCGGATCCTTCCGTTTGCACCGCCGCGAACTACTGTTTTTGTTCCGAGGATGGCTACCAAAGGTAATAAACAGGAGATACAAATGGAGGTCATAGCAGTGGAGTAAAATATTTTTGCTTTTCAATTGCAAATTGTCACATTATTTGAGCACACACTATCTCTAGTCAATTTACTCCGTACTTGCACACCACCTATCACCCTGCATATCTCTCCTGACTACGGAGCAGCATGTGATTGGTGTAAGTACCAGTCGATATCATAATGCCTAGCCTAGACCACGATGGAAGTTACCCCGTGTACTGCAGGTACTCCCTAGTTCGGATGCAGATCGGACCACTCCATAGTTTGGTAAGGCTCTGCAACAACGAGGTAATCTCTAGGTACTTTTGGGGGGCCCTCCGTTAATTTCATAGTGATAAACTGCGCAGTTCCCTGCATAATCACCTCACGAGGCTGAACATGCAGGCATCCGTTCTTTTTGTTGCTGTCCCCACATGGCCAGCCTCAAGCTGAGACTGTTTTCGTGTCAGTCCGTATTTCAAGGGCTATTATTGGGTGCATTCAGAGACTTGGATAGGTCTCATCCTCAGCCCTAGAGTTCCAGCCCGTCGATCTTTTTGCAGATCGCTCGTGTAGCGACAACTATGCCTTTTCCTTTCAACGACATGGTCTAGCAATACTGGCAATTATCCAAATGGCTGTAGGTAGATAGCTTGTCTGATCCTGGATTGAATAAGCAGGCCATTTTTTTAGAGCTCTTCTAGATGGCTTATTTGTAATGCCTATTGTGTGATCGTTGGATTATCCGCTTCCTGTGGGGAACCTATATCCTTGAGGGCTCCAAATATGATGTATGTGATAAGTAGTCAGTTACCAGCCATTTAAGGGAATCTACATCACAAGGCCCAGCCTAATTGCGATTGCAGCGGATCTCCGGAGACCGGGGACAAACGAAATGATTTTAGTCAGAGATAACAGGAAACAGCTAGAGGGCCATGTAGAGCATGGCCAATGAGATACCAAGTATGCTATTTACAAAAGGCCAAGAGTCTACTGAGTACTGAGTTCGGTTTGCAAATTGACGATCTCCAGATACCCGTCCGTCCACTTCAGAATCTGAGGCTCTTGTGTTTACTGGTGTCTCCCTATTCCAATTCTACCCCAGTATCGCCAAGGCAGACATACAGGTAATGCATCCAATGATTGAATTTTTGGTCGCCTAATCTGAAGGATTGCATATTCACCTTGCTAACAGAGGGTGGCAAACAAATTTGGAATGAAAAACTTCAAGATATAAAAAGCCCCGCGTGGCCATCGATCTCTGTCGTACAAGTCTAAACCCAATCCCATACTTCGACGAAAGCCAATTCATCTCTTCAGCTTAAACTCAAGATTATCAACTTCTTTCCAAAATGAAACTACTCTTCCAAGGCACTGCAATCTTCGCCCTTCTTATCGTCAACGCATCTGCTGAAAAAAGTGGCATTTTTGCCGCTAACGGTGTCGAGCTCGAAGTTTACCAATCCGGCGAGGATATCATCTACGGAGAACCTGTGAGTCTTTGATTCTTTGAACCGTCCCAAACACGATAACTGACTCCATATAGCAAAGCTTGGTCCAGGTACATTACCGATCCCCCCCCATTGTCAGGAAACGTAATTTTCTAACATGTTTATTGTAGGCGAGAGATCTTGAGGGCCGAGCAACCAACGCGTGCACCAAGTGTGTTGGTCACCATGGAAGTTGTGTTGTAGGAGAGGGGAACTGCTATGCCCCTGATACATGTGCTTTCTGTGGGGGCTGTTCTGTCAACCAGGCCCGTTGCCAGAACCCCAAGACGGAAGGCTGCCAGTGCTACAAATGATTTATTAAGTAGGGGGAACCAAAGCGAATTTCGCTTTTTCTAAGCCCAATTCTGTTTAAAACCTCTCGTGGTAGTAAAGAACTCCTACAGTTCTTTTCTGGCTTCTCGGTAGTTTTCTTTTTTCAATGCACTCATGCTGAGTTGCTTTATGCCTCATCTTATTTATTATCCTCCAGTAGTAAATTCAAACAAATGTGAAAAGGGATTCATTACAAGAGTAAGCTGTTATTCATCCAATTTATGTCAAATATTTGTATTCAACTATCAAAGCCAGATCAGACAAAGAAAAGTTCACCCAAATATATACTCCCACCACCCTTTCTTCCACGTCCGCCCAAACCGATGATTGACACACGCGTTACCGTGATTAAACCCTCCCGCCTGACTATGTCTCTGTCCATTCCCCCAAACACTGATCGGCAACACACATAGTCCACCCATATATGCATTCGGGGCAGCCTCATCAGCCTGGATACAAACAGGATCACGAAGTCTATGAAACGGAGCCCATGTTACCCGTTCCTTCAACTCCCCAAGTTCAGGAGAGAGGAGGTCCCCTATCTCTATATCTGCGTCGACAGATTGTTGAACAAACGGATGCGTCGAAGGGAGCGAAGAGGAAAGTTTGTCAAGAACAGCATCCGTGAAGACATCAGGCCCCGTAACTCCCAAGATAGTCTTCTCGTCATACGCCAGACTGGGCAAAAACCTGCTGTGTGCACTATTGTATTGCCTGGTATGTGCTAAGACCCGCACGATGGTTTCGCGGAGAAGCGGGCTGAAACGTCGCGGTGCATACATTGTATACTGGATCAGTCCGTAACTCCTTGTCCAGTGCCAGTCGCGCATGAATTGTGGTGAAGCATATGGCTCGTCGACTTCAATTCCAACCACAAGGGATACATTGGGATGGGTGTTTTGTGTGTATTCCTCGGGTGTGGGTGCGAAGAAGGGCTCTAGTGCTGGACAGGTCTTGATGGTTCGAGCTGGGAAGACATCGATGTCTGCATAGAAGCCTCCATAGTACCAGAGAAGGAGGTATCTGAGGAGGTCTGCTCGAAGGACATTTTGAGGGTAGGATTTGTATATACTCGCGATTTCGGGGATGGCAGATAGTTCCTTGGTCACGAACTCGATGGCCTTTTTATCAGTGACTAACTTTGTGGTTTTTAGTTGGAGTCAAGTAAGGTATGTAGTATCGGGCAAAAGTACTTACATTGTATTTCCACTCCTTATTTTTCCCTTGAAATATTATTGAGTCATCCCCCCTGTGCTTTTCATTTTTCGCTATCTGCCAGATTCTATCTTCGGATATGTTGCTTTCCTGACTTGCCAATATGGCATTTTCAATGTTCTCCAGGGCATTTGATAGCTGTTCTTCATATTCAACATCCGGATTATTTCGGAACGGAGAGCGGTAGATAAACCGTGGTGTATCCTCTACTTGATGCTCTGGTGGTGGTCGGTCTGCGCGGGTATTGTTCTGGGTGGAAGGAGGATCTGGAAGATGATAAATGAGGAACCATATCAAGATGATAAATAATATATAAGCTCCACGACGAGTAAATGAGAATCTAGATGCCTGCATCCTAATTCTTCTAATGCTCATGGTGGTAGTGGTAAGAGGGAAACCGTAGAGAACGGCGAGTTGAAGGCTGATTGGAGGAATATGGGAATAAATTACTGTCGACTCATTTGATGGGAAATTGACACATAGAGGAAGGCTAAAGACTGTATGGTTGAAGTGACAGTTATGAAATATGGCAAAGGAGAGAAATTGATGAGAAAAAAAAGAGAACCAAGAATCAGAATCAGAATAGCAAACAAAAGAAAAGCTGTGTCAGGCCAAGGATTGAGTACATGACCAAAGCCCCTGGGTCTCATGCAGCCTTTGACATGGCTTTCACGCTGATCAAAGCCTCGAGGTTGCCTCCAATTTTCTTTTTATTTATCTCTACAAAACCACTTTGCCGTCTAGTTCTTTCTTTGACAGAGGCCCACTTCGGGTCGATCCCCCAACGCTAGACAAGGATAGCCCTGCTGAGATTTGATAGTTCACATTTGGCATTAGTAATAAGACAGGGGACTGCCTCATTTTCCGGTTGGATAGAGGTACCCCGTATTGTAGAGGTGAAAGATACCACTATACGGAGTACAAGGTGAGAGTTTGAGATAGTAGTGGATGAGGTAGATCATGACTAGTAAAGCTCATTCTCATGCGTTATTGGAGTTCTGTATCAGTATGTTCACCCAGGATTTTGTAGCGATCGCTTCGGGTAGGTTATGCCCCTAATGTTCCGATGTGGCCTCGTCATCCTGATCATGTTGGATGTAAACTCGTCGATGTTCGTATTAGGGTTGTCTTCTCAAATGACGATACATCGTACAAGGACTATGACCGACCAAAAATGGAAATCAGAAGGAAACGTTGAAGATGAGAGTTTGAACAAGCAAATCTAGGCAAAGAGTATCATTCAATGTGATGTGAATGCCACTGTCTGCAATTTTGTGGTCAGGCATTTATGTTTCAGCATAGTCGATGATCGGGGTCTGACTAAAGTGATTTGATTGGTTGTACCTGTCCAGCAAGTGGGGTGAGTGCCCAAAGTGGAAGGAGGTTAAGGTTCAGCGGGTGAGGCTCATAACTCATATATATTACGTCCAATATAGGGGTAGTATACCGGCTCTGCATAAAAGACAGTGCTTGTGTCGATATATGAAACATTCTGAAACCAGATAGCTGAGCCATGAGTGTCCTACATACTTAGAAAGCGTTCTCTTTGTAGGTAGAGAGACTACTCAATAATATTTCCATTTAGTTTTTGCTCATCTCAGGAAGACAGAGATTTTCCTGCCTAAATAGAAACGTGTTCAATATCACAGACGAAAGGTCAGAGTGAGAAACAAAAGACGATTGAAGAGAGAAGAACTCTCAGAGCTTGCTAGGTATCAACTAGTTACCCTGAACTGTTCCCCTGAACTTCCAACCATCCACAATACATTCATTCACGACTTTGTGATTTCCAGATCGAAAAAATCTGAATTTTTTTGCCGAGATTTAGCCATTTGTATTGGCCCCCATTCAGAAATCCTGATAGCATACACCTTAAAAACCCACCGATATTAAGGGTAAGCCGAGCCAATCAGGGTAATGGCATGATGCGCCTCAAAACTATGTCAGAAATACCAAGACCGCGTCAGCCCCTGAAGCCTAGAGGGAGCGGGATTCAGATTGGTGCGGATAAAAAATGCGTGTCATCTTCTACGACATATTTAGTTCTCCAGTGCTCGATTTCCTGTATCTTAGACCATCGCTCTTCGATAATTCGTGAGAGTTTATTGCCTAAGAACAATGTCTCAAGATTCTAGCAAGAAGAATATTGTCATCCTGGGCGGTTCCTATGGGGGCGTGTCCACGGCACACTACCTTCTCAAACATGTCGTCCCTCAGCTAGCCAACAAAGAGAGCTATCAGATCGTCCTCGTCAGCACCTCCTCACAGGCCATATGTCGCCCGGCCTGTCCTCGCGCATTGATCTCAGATGACATGTTTCCCCAAGAGAAGCTCTTCGTCAACGTACCGCAAAAGTTCGAGCAGTACCCGGACGGTAGCTTCCGTTTCATCCAGGGCACTGCGACGGAACTCAACCACCAGGAGCGCTACGTCACTGCGACCCTCAAAGATAGCAGTACTGAGAAGCTTGAATACCATGCGCTTGTCATCGCCACTGGCGCATCCACTCTGTCGCCCCTACTAGGACTCAATCACGACTCTGAGTCCCTGCGCGCAACCTGGAATGACTTCCGCAAAGCTCTCCCCAATGCCAAAAGCATCGTCATCGTGGGTGGAGGCCCAGCGGGTGTAGAGACGGCCGGCGAGCTAGGCGAATATCTCAACGGTCGCCCTGGTTGGTTCAGCATCAAACTGGATAATCCCAAAGTCCCCATTACCCTAGTGACATCGGGCCCACAGATCCTCCCGGCCTTGCGGCCCGCGATTGCGGGCAAGGCGCAAGGATTTCTCGCACAAGTTGGCGTGACAGTGATTAAGGGTATACCCGTCGTAGCTGTCTCACCACCTGGGGCTGGGACTGAGAGTGATCTGACCTCCAATGCGACTGTGACCTTGCAAGACGGCAGAACACTCGAAGCCGACCTTCTTATCCCGGCTACCGGCTCTACGCCTAATACCCGCTTTATCCATGGGTCCCTGTTGACCGCTGGTGGCACGGTAGAGACTAATGTATCTACCCTGCGTGTGGATAAAGCCGGTCCACGTGTCTATGCGATTGGTGATGTGGGATCACATGCGCGTCCGGCGATACACAATCTCACGAATACAGTCGTCATTATGTGTGCGAACATTAAGCGAGATTTGCTCATTGCTGAGGGGAAGGACGAAAGTTCTGTTGGTCCCGATCGTGAGTTTAAGGAGGATACTCGTGAGAGTCAGCTTGTGCCAATTGGAAGAAGTAGGGGTGTTGGCGCCGCTATGGGCTTAGCTTTACCCAGTCTCTTCGTGTGGCTGATCAAAGGTCGAGACTATTGGCTATGGACCACGGGGGGGCTGTGGAGTGGCACCTCGTGGGCCAAAGAGGCGTGAACATTTCGTTTTTCTTTTTTCTTAATGGAGCTGAGATTAATTTGTAATACATATCTCAGATAGTTACTACTACTTCTTGCTCATTTTGATACTCAAGATATCTAGTATAAACTGATCCCAAGTGGCTCTTATAGCTCAGAGGTTCTAGCGTAGCGCGAAAAGGTTGTATCAAATAGGCTCGCATTCAAAATTGGTGTGAAGTCTCTTGTCGGGTTCTCTCTTCTTAAGAGTAATCAACAAAAAGGAAGCTATACGGTATACCCAGTAGTATCGGACTGGTGCCTTCATGCCGTTAGTATAGATAAGAATGTGGACTCGTTCTAGTTCTATAAACTTGCACTATCATCTATTGAATACACTGCCTATGGTAGAAGTGAGAGAGATTATCGCGAGCTTTAACAACGACTGATGCCGCACGCTAATCAATAATGTTATGAGGATTAGTTAAATGACAACATTTCGGTGTGGGGAGCATTTTATGGTTTAGGAATGCTCTACAGAGACTAGGGGAAGCTGAAGGAGGCAGAGTAGATGTACTAGCGAGCATTTGCAGGCTATGGAAATGCCCTCGGTCCAGATCATATATCCACTCTCCTCGATACTACCCTAGATCCTACTTTTCTCCACGGTTCGGCTCTATAAGAGTAAGAAATTACGGGAGTGTAAGGACTTACTAGAGAACTAGATCAGGTTGGCAATGAGAGGAACACTAGTTTTAGTGTCGTAGGACAATTCGTGCCTTCCTTTTCATTCTATCTAGTATATTCGCATTCCCTGCTCAAGGAAACAAATGAAAATCGTCTTGATCACCAAACAAACAACCTCGCCCTACAAAGATTACAGTGCTATAAGGGTTAAAATGGCACATTTGATCGACTCCGAAATAGCCGTTTTTCATCAACATCTCTCTGTCCAAACAGTGTTTTTGCACTCCTACAGACTTACATACATCACGTAACCTGGGACCTAATTCGGCGAGAAGCCAGGAGAAATAAATTTCACACACGTCTGTAATATCCGGGTCCTAGAACATTTTCTAAAATAGGTAGTGACAGAAGCAACTGTTTTTCATTCAAATGTTCTCATGAGTTTTTATACCCGATAACCTTCCCTATGACCCGAGAATCAAGACTTCTATGTGGAGCTTTCTCTTTAGGAAAAAAGGCACCCCAGTAAGGTCAGGTTGAATGTAACCATACTTTAAGTGGTTTTATATAACTGCGGCAACCTACGGCCGAGTCGTATGTGGTAGCAGTGTATTTTAGTGGTGCTAGCGCAGAGTCGAGGAATCTTGATTTAATCCTTGCTCTTTCTCAATGATAAGTGGATTGTCTAGGCAAACGCAAAGAGATAACAGCACAAAGGACTTCGAGCTCGCGGGGCAATCACATTTCCACCTTTAAAGCAAAGGTCCCATTCTTTTCTTTCGGTGAGATTCAGTCCCATAAAACATTACATCCCCGGATATCCCATTCCAACCACACTTCAACCACACGCGTCTTTCAAGTATCTCTACATCAATCTTCACAGCCGTCGAACTATCGTCCATTAAAAACACCCGGACAGATACATTTTTTGGTCCTCCTTTGGTGCATGTGACGTGGTTCAACATTCATGGCAATTCCACGTTTCGAAGTATCGGAGCTGCGTTCGCTGCTTCAATCGACGATGTGTTCGTCGGCATTGCCGATCATGTGAGAGGCAATGTTTACAGCATTACCAGTATGAATGCAACCTTATACTCGGTGACCGTTGTTTGTTCGACCGAGAAGTCGGATGTCGAGATTGGGGGTGTGATCCAAGACCTATACCAGCATTTGAACAAGGATGTAGTGATTCCAGAGGAAGAACTGGCAGCCTTGCGAGCATGGAAAGAATCCAATGAACCCATTGAGAATTCGTTGCCAGAAAAGAGCGAGGAACCTAAAGCTTAATCTTGCAAAGACTCGCAAATACAGTGGTCTCCGACTTGACTGGCCGTTTCTTTCACCGAATATCCCTATCTTCTTTTCTGATCCGCTCTTACTTATATAATCAGTAAAGCGCAAGAAGTGCTGAATAGATAGATCAGAAGAGTTGCTCTAGTAACAGCAGTTGTTAAAATAACCATTACCGACCGATTCCCACCTTGTTTCGCAGCGCTTTGGAGCCGTCAGACGTCTTCAGGTCAGTCACTGGTCCTAAAACACTTGACCCACCTGACCTCCACGAACAAATCACCAGAGATATGATTGGTTCCAGCTTTTGTCCCTCTTTGAAAAAGTGTAGATGCTCTTATGTACATCAATCATATCTGAAACTGTACACCAACCATAGGCCAGCAACCCGAGGACCCTAATTCCAAGAAATCTGAAAAAGGGGCATTGGATAGTTAATATATATAGGGCAGTGCCATGCACCATCAATTGCCTGGTCTAATCTAGTAAGAAGGACGAAGCTACAGGCGATGCCCCACTCAGTGTTGAGTTGGAGTGTTGGCACCACTATGGGCTTCGCTTTACCCAGTCTCCTCGTGTGGCTGGTCAAAGGTCGAGACTATTGGCTACGGGGGGCTGTGGAGTGACAACTCGTGGGCCAAAGAGGCGTGAATATTTCGAGGTTTTTTTTCCCTTAGCGTGGAGCTCAGATTACTTTGTACTATATATGTCAGATATTTGTGTTAGATAGATTTAGATATAAATAAACAAATAAACAAATAATATAAAATCAAAGACAGTTATATTCTCTACTTACTTTCTTTGATAAGCAGATTAAACGAATCAGGGGTGTCAAGTGACCAAAAAGCCCGTGATGCCCCCGCACTTCGCAGAGTGGAGATTGAGTCGGCCCGGAGACCCCTATTTTCTCAGCACGTGACGTGAAAGCTATTTTGCGGGGAAAGGTCAATTGATAGAAGTTCCAAGAACAGAGTACTCCATAATAAGAGTAAAATAAGATTTAAAAGAGAAAAGTTACATATTTAAGCAAATTCCAGATGTCTTGCCGATCATAACCAAGCAAATGAAAAATGAAAAAGCAAAAAGCAAAAACTCGGGCTGTACATCGGCGCGCTATAGGCCGAGATCGGGCTTCGATCGACCGGTGATACATCCAGGGATGATTCATCCTTTGTAATTCGCATCCTTCGAGTCGCTAAGATTGTCCATTTACTCTTTCAGCCTTGCTTTTCCTCGCCGGAACTCCGGAAGTTACCCCACATTTGAGGAGCGGTATCCAGCGTAGCACCTCGGTAACATCCCTATATCGGCGAACCTACGCTTGAGGATTCGACCCTCAAAAAGTCAAAATTCCCCCTTCCTTTCCTCTTCCACATTATTATTCCCCTTCCAAGCAATTGCGCATTGTCCTAGCGCAATTCGCATCTCATCATGGGTGTCTTAGGTATGTTCAATGCTCTATACATCTACCCCGGATTTCTTTCTTTCTTCCTTTTCGGGGTTGAGCAGGTGCGCGCGCGCCAGCGCATCATTGTTGACTCATACTGACCGTTTGACAATTTCTTGCGCAGAATCACCCGCCTATAATGGACAGCCCATCGACAAAGGCGAAAGCCAGTCCAGTTCCGACATAGACTTCGATCTCCCTCCTCTCACAAGTACCACCGCGCGCAAGTTGCAAGCCAAGGTCGATTGGCACATCCTACCCTGTCTGTGCATTTTGTATTTGCTTGCCTTTTTGGATCGGTAAGCTTATCATTGGCTCGTGTGACTTGGCGTTGCTTGTATCTGACTCATCGACCTCCAGAGTTAATATTAGCAATGCCGCTATTCTCGGACTGAAAGAGGATTTGAACATCGTCGATGGAACGAAATACAACACCGCGCTCACGATTTTCTTCGTTCCGTATATTATCTTCGAGATTCCGTCAAATATTTTGCTCAAGAAATTAAAGCCCCATGTCTGGCGTAAGTGATTTGGTTCCTTTTGCGCCCCGTGCAATTAAACACAATTTTGGTGAGCGCAGCATGTTAATTCGAATTTTAGTGTCGGGATGTATGTTCATGTTTGGCGTGGTTTTGCTCTGCCAGGGTCTGGTACAGAACTGGGGTGGACTGATGGCTACTCGTTTCTTTTTGGGTGTCTTTGAGACGGGCATGTTCCCTGGATGTAAGTGCAGATACCAACAGGAACTCCAAAGCCAGGTGCTAATTACGATTGCCAGGTTTCTATCTTTTGGGAATGTGGTACACACGCTCTGAGGCTCAGAAGCGTTTCAGTTTCTTCTTTAGCTCCACTTCCCTGGCTGGCGCCTTCGGTGGTCTGCTTGCCAGTGGAATCGCAAAGATGGATGGCATGCGCGGCTACAGTGGCTGGCGCTGGGTGTTCATTATCGAGGGCATTTTGACCAGTGTGGTCGCGATCATCCTGTTCTTCTTCATTGCTGATTTCCCCGAGGATGTTAAGTGGCTGAACGAGGAAGAGCGCGCATACATGCGTGCCAAGTTGGCCAAGGATGTTGGTAAGGCTGCTCACAACGTTCACATGGGCAAGCGCGAGGTCCTGGGTGTGTTCAAGGACTGTAAGTATAGCCCAAATAATCCCTCTTGCATTCAATTGCAGCGCGCTGACTTTCCCCAGACAAAGTCTTTATCGGAGGCTTTATGTACTTCGGCTTGATTGTCCCGGCTTATGGTACGCAGACCACTTCTTTCTATTAACCTCCGAGTTATCGCTCACTCTCATACAGGATATGCATACTTCGCGCCGTCCATTATCAAGACCTACGGCTATAGCGCGATCAAAACCCAGCTGTACTCCATTCCTCCTTGGGCTGCAGCATTCGGCTTTTCAATGGTAGTCGCGTTCTGCTCTGACCGACTGCGACACCGATTCATTTTCACATTGATTCCTATGGCGATCGCCCTTGTCGGATTCATCATGCTCCTGACAATCCATAACAATAATAGTGCGCAATATGGCGCTCTTTTCATGCTCACCAGTGGCTGTTATAGCGCTATGCCTGTCATTGTATGCTGGTTCTCCATGAATTTGGGTGGCCATCATCGACGCAGTGTGGGAACCGCATGGCAGATTGGCTTCGGCAATATCGGTGGAATCATCGCTACTTATTCTTTTGTCGTGAAGAATGGCGTCACAGACTTCCGAACCGGGTATATCATCTGCCTGTCATTCATTTGCCTCGCTGCTCTGGCATGCGCGCTCTATATGGCAGCCCTATGGTTTGAAAACAAGAAACGTGATCGCAATCCTGTTGATCCTGCTACGATTGGCGAGGATGAAGAGGAATATCTGGGCGATTTGGCGCCCACATATCGGTACACGTACTGAGAAAGATACTTTTGTATGACGGATCTTTTTTTCATTTTACTTTTGTGGATCTTATCTTGCGGATTTTGCGAAGCTCCATGAGTGATGAATATTTTGATATATTTCTTTAATGAGCATACGCCTGGCTATACCCCAGCGAAAACATTGGCATCAAAAGTCTTGTTGGTTCTATTGGGGGGCTATATGATATATGATATGTTATTCAATAATAGTAATGGCATTTCTCTTCTCGCAGATGCTAAATTCTACTAATGGCATTACCTTACAATCCCCACTCGTACTTCATAAGTTACATAAATTATTTTCAAATAGTTTGCAAGCCTAAAGACATCTATGGAGTGAAACCCTATCAAATTTCCTAATCTGGCATAGTCATGTGTCGTCACAGATGGAAGCTTGACGTGTCACGTGTGGGGCCTAAGCGAGGGCGGCTGAGTCAGCCGCACCGTACCTAAATGCGTCTCGGGGCCGCCCTCACTTCGTCTTTCTTTCTACTATCTCTGTTTCATCCTCGAAATCGTGAGTAGTGTTCCCAAAGCTTATTGATATTCTCGAGAGCAATGCACTAACCCAGTCAACAGTTTGAAGATGAGAGCTAAGTGGAGAAAGAAGCGCACTCGCCGTCTCAAGCGCAAGCGCAGAAAGATGCGTGCCAGATCGTAAGTCACTTCCATTGTGCGCCAATGGTCTTGCGAAAGGCTATTGAGCTTCCAATTGGCGAACCGAAATACTAACTCCCAAATCAGCAAATAAACTACTCGCCCCCTCCATCTCAGCTCTCCTTGCCGAAGCTCATGTTTGAACGCTGAACACGACAATTGACGACGCGACGTTGCGACTTCCGTTTCTTCGTGACACGCCCCTCATTTCAACGAGTTACCTGCACGGACAAGATTTCCGACCTATCTTCAGAAGAAATCGCAGATCAACATGACGGAATCCGCTGTTACAACAACAGTCTACCCACATTCCAACACCTCGGATTCATTCACGTCTACGATTTGATGTCATGCATGGTTATTACTCGGAGGGGCTCCTGTGTTTAGGTGGATGTTGGAGGGCCGGTGCAACCCATCGGTCTTTGAGCACGGCATTGGGATGACTGGTCAATTCTCATTATCTTTACGGCCTTCCTTCGGGCTGGTCAAAAGCTGTGGAGAGGTTTCTTCCGGGAGTTTATCAAAAATCCATGGAATAACTCGGAGGTCTTGGTTTAGCTACTGCAGATGAATCGATGACTTGATGAGTGCAACATTTTTTAACCATTGTAATCCGTAAAATTGTAATCTGGAACAGACCAACCACCAAAGTAGCGAATAGCTTCAAATGACCCTAATTGTCTTGAATGTTCCCATCGATATCAGCTTGACGTTTTATGTACGTCAATATTTCTTTGTGCGGAAACCCATGGACTCACCGCCTGCCTGGTCTCCGCTCGTAAAATTTTCTGCCAGACAAGTCCAGACATTTTATTTCACCGCGCTGAAGCCGATTCTCGAGAGCTACGATCTTTTGTCTCTCGTCTTTAACGCCATAATGCCGTCCAATAAAACAGAAAACAAGCGCAAGCGCTCAGCGGACAATGACCGTCCAAGCAAAAAGCCTACGCTAGACCAGCTACCCCCGCTGGCTGCCAGCGTTGTTGAAGATAAGAGCGAGCTGGCACCGGTAATTGGTGAGTTGAAGGCTTTTTATCCATACTATGAACTATATCTAATTGAGTTTTTGCTTTATAGCCAACACACCCGGTCTTCAAAGCTCCAAATCCCTCCGCTGGAACCCATATATCAAAAGCCGCGCCAATGTCTCCAAGTCTGCGGCATCGACTCGGAACCCGGGCATTGTCTCTTCAGAGATGCTGCTGCAGTCCTCAGACCACGCCAAGCTGGACTTTGTCGGCCGTGAAGGCACGGGAGACGATACCGACTCCCAAGTGAAGCACTACGTCGCAGTCATTGACCCAGAGCGCAAGACATGGAAAGTCGTTGAGGTGCGGCGAGCGACACTGCGAGGAGCAGTGAGAAGCCGCAAGCCCGAGGAAGACTCAGACGAAGAGATGGTATATCTTCCCAGACGCAATTCCATACATCAGGATCCAACTAACAAGCATCACCAGAACACCATGCGCGCCCAACGCACAGCCCTAACCAACACCTTCGGAACCAAACAATCCCGCAAGGCCGTGCAATCCATGGCCGAGAACGCCCAGCTCTCCAACGCCCCTACCGGCGCCGTCCCCCAAGCCGGCGCAGCCCTCATCTCCTCGCTGCCCGCCAACACAGCCTCCGGCCTCGCCAAGGCCCTCGCCATGCAAGCCGAGGTGCAAGCCGCGAAGCCCCTCCCAACCCCGAACCTCGCCGTCTCGCACCCCTCCGACGTCTACACAATCGAGACCCTCGTCCCAGGCAGCCACTCAACCCTCAGCCAACTCAACGGCGTAGACGAGTGGAAGTCTCAAGTAGAAGCCGGTCTCGGCGTGACAACCGTCTCGCGCTACGTCTCGAACCGCGTCGGCGCAGTCGTCAACTCAGACAACACAACCCACCTCCAAGTCCTCCGCTTCATCCAGCTGCTCATCGAATTCGGACGCTGTCTCAAACACGCCGGCGCAAACGCCAAGGGCGGCGGCCCAGGCAGCAAACGTCTCCCACCCCGCGAAGACCTCCGTCGCATCCTCTCCAACACCACCGGCTCTGCCGTCGCGAAGCCCAAGCCCGGTGCTGCCCCCGAGCCGGCTTCCACAGATCTGCTTCCGGAGTCTGTTATCGATGCCGTGCGTCGTCGCTTTGCCCCCAGCGGTGGCTACGTCTCCAAGAACGACTTCACTCTCCTGCACACTACTATCTGTGCGCTCTCGCTGCATATCCCACCCCAGCCGGCCCGCGACGGTGGATCCAGCTCGCTTGGTGGTAATGCGCCCAATGAGCTTGCAACTGATCCTTCGGATCTGCGTGATGATCTGCGTCTTGACCCGAATACTATTCACCAGTACTTCCGTGAGCTTGGTTGTCGTATTGATAAGCCTCGTGAGACGGAGTTCGCGAAGTGGAATATTAAGGGTGGACGTGCGGAGGCGCATGCGCGTCGTGTTGCTCGCTTGCGCGTGCCCGTTGAGTTCCCGAAGGTTAGCCGTGGTGGTCGGAAGTAGGGGGTTTGATTTGTGGATTGGTGGTCTTGAGTTGTCAGGCTTCCTTGGAATATATGGCGCTTTGTGTGTTACAAAATTGTTACTTTTACCTGTTTCTATATCAATGAGACATTGTTACATAGCCAAAGGAATTTACTTGGTCATTTCTTTGATTTCGATTTCGATTTTGTGAACTCCGTAGACTTGAGCTCTCTGTCTGATGGTTAGGGTTTACACAAATTGCTAGCAAACTTGGTTGGAATGTATCGTATACTAGGTAGCTGAATCACTATGTTTCATGTTCAGGTACTATCTTGTTTTTATCTACTTTCGTATATATTTTCCATTTCTATTAGTCTACCGTTTAAAATAGGTTTTTGCAACTAGAGTGGAGGCTGCTCATATCCAGAGGGGGTTGTGTTGTATATATCATGGCCCTAAACATAAACAAGCAAAAGCCCTATCAATCACAGGACATGTTTTACTAACAATCTTGGAAACCCTTACATACTACCGAAGGCCGAAGCCTAAATGAAATATAATGCCACTTCAAATTTGTTCATTCCAACCTGGTCCACTTGAGCCCAATAGATGACACTCGATCAATGTAAATACAAGCAGTATATCCGACACTAGTCTTGGTCTTTCAAACCAAATCAACGTCATACATCAAAAGACAAGAGCGCAATTCACGGCTAATCCAAGCCGGAGATGTCTACATCATTTAAACAAAAGCAGACAGGGAGATATGACATGAATATGTGGGATGGTATGATGGAAGACGGATGCATATGTTATTGTATGTCCGCACGACACAATATTATAATAAATGAATGGACGGGAATAATGCGACTGGAATTACCCCAAAAAACCGAGAAGCGTAAAAGACGGGACTCGTCTGCTCTAGGCGACCACACCAACGGGGGTGGAGTTCAGTCCTGAGTGAGCCTTCTCGGTCAGAGGGGTAGCAGCCTTCAGGTGCGGCACGGTGGCCTGGGCAGCTGCGTCGTGGAGCTCACGAGCAACAGCGCCCTCGACGGTCTCGCCAGCCTGTAGGCCCAACTGGGCGTCCTCCCAGATGGGCAGGTTGGCGGCCTCGGCGCCTTCAACGCCAACGCCGACGAAACCGCCCTGGCTCTTCCAATCGCTGGTGCGCTTGAGGCCTAGGTCGTTCCAAACGGCCTGGACGGCCTGCACGAGGTGCTCGCGCAGGGGCTTCACGTGGCCTGGGGTTGGGGTGATGCGCAGACGCTCCTCGCCGCGTGGAACGGTGGGGTAGTTGATGGCCTGCACGTAGATTCCGTGTTCATTGAGAAGTTTGTCGGAAGCCTGCTTGGCCAACTCGGCATCGCCGACCAAGAGGGGGACGATGTGGGAGGGGTTGGGGATGACGGGGATATCCAAATCATTGAGGGCAGTCTTGACTGCACGGGTGTGGAGGTGTTGGAGGACTCGGTCCCGGGGTTGCTGGGACTGGTACTGGATGGCGGTATCCGCACCAGCCATGGTTGCTGGGGGGAGTGAAGTGGTGAAGATGAAACCGGGAGCAAGGGAGCGGATGGTGTCCACCATGGCTGCTGAGCCTGCAATATAGCCACCGACACAGCCGTAGGCCTTGCCCAGGGTACCAGTGATGATGTCAATTCGGTCCTGGACTGTGCCCTTGGTGCTTTGAGGGGAAGCTGTATCCTGCGATGCGTACACATCGTAATCGAGGTGCTCAGCAACTCCAGCTCCGTGTGGCCCGTACATTCCTACGGCGTGGACCTCATCCAAGAAAGTGATGGCACCGTATTTGTCGGAGAGATCACAAATCTTTTCAATGGGCGCAATTGATCCGCACATACTGTAAACGGATTCAAAGGCAATAATCTTGGGGGTACTAAGTGGCAATGAGGCTAATTTAGCTTCAAGGTCTTCCAGATCGTTGTGTTTGAAGACCATCTTCTTCGCGCCAGAGTGGCGAATACCCTGAATCATCGAGGCATGGTTGAGGCTGTCCGAGAGGATGACACAATCGGGCATCTTACTGCCTAGTGTTGCCAGGGTCGCATCGTTAGCCACGTAGCAGGAGCTGAAGACCAATGCAGCCTCCTTGCCATGCAACTTAGCAAGCGTCTCCTCTAGGGCGACAGCATGCTTGTTATGACCCGAGATATTGCGAGTACCACCTGCACCGGCTCCATAGGTGTCCAAAGTCTTGTGCATGGAGTCCAAGACCTGCTGGTTACGACCCATGCCGAGATAATCGTTTGAGCACCAGACAGTCACACGCTCCTCGGCAGAGGCAGTGTGGGCCCGAGGGAACTCCTTGGCGAGGCGGTTGATGTTGTTGAAGTAGCGGTAGGACTTGTCCTTGTGCTTCTTCTCCAATTCCACGTTATAGAAGCTATCGTAGTTGAACTTTTCGTTGGTGGGAGCTTCCGGACGGGGACCGCGAACCGCAGCGCCAGCGGCGGTAGGGGACGGGCGGGGCGTATTGGCCAAGTTAGGGTTTCCTGTAGTCAGATTAGAAATCGCTCAAAACCCAAGCTTCAGAAACTCAATTTACCTCGCTCGTTCTTCTCGTATCCCCCAGAGGCGAGACTGGCAGGGTGACCACCGGTGGTGTGCAACGCCCGCTTGCCAGTCGGAACCCGCATAGGCTGGATTCCACCGACACCGGCGGCGCGCGAGGTGAAGCGCTTGGCGCCACTGAGACGGGCACTCTGCACAGCCAGGGCCTTGCTCATGACTGGGCAGCGGCGACCCAGAACCTGCAGGTTGGACATGGTTCCGCCTCCTGGGCTGGTGCTGGGACGAGTCGCGGTTGAAAGAGTGCGGAGGGTGGTGGGGGATGTGCGCTTGAGGAAAGGGCACATAGTGCGAGACTGCTGCAAAAGAGCCTCCATAGTTGAATTGAGGCAAGGGTAGTAAAAAAGAAAGCAACGACAAAAATCTCCGTGAATTGGGGAGATTGTACAGGTT